AAATGTTTTACACTCTTTATGCATGAATTGTTTGTATCACCTTTTTATCTAGTTTGAAGTTTAAATCGTATGAATATTATCCCGATTTTTACCTAACCAGATAAGAGTTGGGCGATTTAATATAAATCGGACAAGGCTTAGTCGATGTAGATTAAACCGGACAAAGAGGGTTGAGCGATTTAGTCTTAAACCAGACAAGGTGTAATTTAAGTGTAAACCGCTCAAGTATTAAGCTGTTTAGTTATAAACCGGACATGTTTTAACCGGTTTAAAGATAATCCGATCAAGAGTTGACCGATTTATAGATTAAGTGATCTTTTTTAAACTTTGACTTATGATTATGAATTTAAATCGGAGAAGTATGAATACGACTATGAGTTGATCGAATTGATTAAATCGGACAGTATTGTCCGGATTAATAATCCGGACAAAGGGTTGAGATTTTCACCAAGTGTTAAATCGGTCATGTTGAGTAATATTGTCCGGATTTGTTATCCGGACAAGATTTGACTGGATTATGAATGGACAAATTATTTTGATTCTTTTAACAAAGAAAACGGGAATTTTGATAAGAACAAGTCTTTGAAACTAATAATAATTCCTTCGACTGCGGTCTGTTATATATGGAATTGATTTGTGAAATGTTTTGATAAAGAAATAAGGGCAGCATATCAATGAGAGGTGTACAATGGGATAAGGGTGACATATCAAGGAGAAGTGTACCATGGGATAAGAGTGACATATCAAGGAGAGGTGTAGATTTGGATATAAGGGTGACATTTGTATATGTGTATTATATAATATAACTTCTATTATTATATCTCGTAAGATTACCATAGTCTGGAATCTTTATTTCTTTGTGACTTAAAGATTTAAGATTAGAGTTCTTATTGGAAATCATAGTCTGAATGTTATAGAGAAGGAGGTAACAGGTGTGGCCTGAAACTTTGTATAAACCTTGTTTGAATGAAAAAGGTTTAAAAGTGGCATTGTAATAATTTGATTAATATAACCTGTTGGGATGTGATGTATTGTTTGTGAGCAGAGATTATTGGCCTGAAAAATGAAAGGTATTGACTTTATGTTTTTACTTGTTCATATATGAAAACTTGTTTTGCTTATATGTTTTGGTGATTTTCACCCTGCAATGACATAAATAGGGTAACTCACTAGAACTTTCGTTCTAATCCTCGTTTTGTGATTTTAATTATGTATTGCAGGAAGTGCCGATGGTAAGGGGAAGGGAAAAATATAATATTTCTCTATGTGATTATCTGCGTGAAGATTTACTGTTGGTATGTATAGTTTTTGTTAGATAATCTGGTTTAGTACAAGATTTGTATTTGGAATTTTTGAACCATGTATTTTGTACTGGTAAATTCTTGTACTAAGGGACCAATGTGGTGTATAAATATATGTTTTTTTTATATGAAGTATATGTTACATGTAATGTGTGGAATGGGGTATTATAGAAAGGCGGTTGATGTAGGGGCAGTCATTTCTGATGCCATTCAAGGTTGCACAAGAAAACCCACCGGCCGATTCTACTTCTTGGCTTTAATACATGGGTTAATGAGGAAGGCCAAAGCACCGGTACCACCTGGTGATGCTCTAACCACTAATGCACTACCCATTGAGTGCAAGCCGGTCGGTAGAATCCGCAAGACCTCGAGAAATGATCTCGGACAGCCCCCGATGGTTCCGGACAGCAGCCACATGGACGCAGACATAATGCTTGAGGTCCGAAGATTGAAGGAAAAAGTCACCGTTATAGAGACTACCTTGGAGAAGACCACTCAAACCCACCACACCACTGTGGAGGCACCTTTAAAGGCACATGAAGAGAAGCTTTTTGCGAGGATGGAAACAAGTGATGCGCGGCTCATGGCCGATTTGAAGAAAATGATTGTCGGGATTTCACGGAGCACCGAAAACCCATTGATGGCACCTACTCCACCCAAGTAGACAGGTTTATCTATCATCCCTTTAGCTCCAATTTACTTTTTTTCCTTTACTTTTTTCCCTTTTCCATGAGTTTGGGAACTGTCTGTGTCAGTTTTTTTAGTATTAAATTTTTTATATAGATGGAAATTTATGGCCCAATCTTCACTACCACCAACTTGCATTTATAGCTAGGGTAACTTAAAAATGATGTGAGTTTGAGAACTAGTTTACATTAAAATACTAGAACTAGCCAACTCTTTTCCGGGACGCAACTTGATTTCACTTGTCACTTAATTTGTGAAATGATCTAAGCCATCTCTTCTCCATAACTAAGAATAGCCCTATATATATATATATGATACCAAATAAAAAAGGGTTGGGCTGCAACGCAGTTCTTTAGTGTGTAAAGAAAACACAGTTCTTTAGACACTAGGTCTGGGCCTCAGCGAGGTTAAACGTCTAAAGATTCAACAAACATTCATTATATATAGCAGTTTCTACTAAATATAAATAAATATTGTCTTCATTAAAAGCAAAATTCCAATTATCACCTTGGCAGATATTGTGGACAGCAAATTTAACTTGATTGTCAATTGCTAGATTAAAGTAAAAATTGCCCATAAACTTATTGATGTCTTTGAAAACTTTTTCAGCAATATATTGTTTTAAATCTAGAGTTAATAAATCAGAAGCTAATAAGTATGTGAGGTTTTTTTTTAGATTTTTGGATTTATATATTTCAGAATCTACAAAGCAATAACATCCACAAGGACATCCACATATAGCAGAATGCTCAAGATCAGGATGAGGACGAATACTACACTTATAGGCAATATTAAACATCAGATGATCAAAATTATTTAGAAATAAACAAGAAGAAAGAATTAGAAAGCTATTATCAGAGGTTGAACAACATTTATACATATTATCTTTTTAATCAAAATTTTTAGAGATAAGATCTTAATTTAGTATATCATAACACCCATTTGGTAAAAATATTATCACTTCTTAAGAACATTTCTTAATAAAGAATTTAAGAAAGATGGATAAAAAAATCATTTAAAAACTCACCTTTTCAGATTAGTTCATACTTTTTCCCCGAAAACGCATTCTTTGCTAACAGCGGGTACTTTTTCTGAATTTAAACATCCTTACGTCTTTTGTTTTTAAAGAAAATTTTAACTTTCTTAAATTTTTATTAAAACAATTTCTTAAAATTACAACTAGGACAAATCCCAGAGGTTTGGCTTGAAGCCTGACAGATATACTCCTGGCATGAGTATGAACTAATATTAACCAAATATCTTTATGATATAAATTTTAAGATCTTATCTTCATAAATAAAGATTAATATGATAATACATATAAATATTTTACAACATGAAATAGCTTCCTAATAAGAGTTTTAGCCTGCCATGAAAACTAACCTTGTATTTATACAATTGGTTGATTACAAAAGTAGATGCTTACAAACTTCAAACAGCTAATATTTGATACTCTCTAATATTTTTCTCTCTCTATGTAGGTGCTCTGAAGGTGTTGTGGTGTCCTTTAACACTTACAAGAGAAACTTATTTATAGGAAAGGAAAAGCAAAAACAACCTACTACCGGAGGCTATTACCGGAAACAAATTCAACATATATACAGTGAAAAGTTGGGAGCACTTCTGGAAAGTATGTCACAATTTTCAAAAGTAGAAAAGCAAGATGCTTTTGTCTTTGTCTTTGTCTGCCACCATTGCCATATACAGCTGTTAGAATAACAGGTGTATCTTATCTTTATGCTTTATAGAAATTTGTCCGCCAGTCTTTTGATAGCTTTTTCTCTAAAAAATATTCTCCATTTGTCTTTTGCTTCTTCATCATCATTATAGAACTTGAGAAATGTGTAAGCAGCAATTGCAGATGGAATATAAATATTGACTGTAGGAGTCTCTCCAAAGAGTGAATATTCTTCAGATGTCAATACTTCAGAGTTCCAATAGAAGTCTGAGTAATAGACATGGTAAAACCATATCTTTACTTCTTCAACAGATTGACCAAAAATATATTGCCAATTAGGACAATGAAGTAACAATTTGTCTTCCCAATCTGAGGAAAAATTCTTTGATAGTATCTTGATGACTGAACAACTGGGTTCAGGCTCAGATTTCAAGAATTTTGGAGGTGAAGAATAAATGTCCACCAAGATGATATAATCATCATAAGTCTTGACCATTTTAATAGCTTCAATAACCCGAACTGGAAGCCAATTAATTTGATTAGTATCAGATAGGATTAGTCCGCAAAGTAATCCATACTTGAAAAGATCATGAAAACTTATTTTTTCATTTCGAAACATTTGTTCAGATGCAGAAGATAAATCAATCTGAACTATTCTAAAAAATATTCGTTTTTCATCATCTGGGGTTGGAATTTCTTCTAATTGAACTGAGAAACCTTGAATAGGTGATCTGGATAAAACCATCAGCCATTCTTGGTATTTTAAAAAGGTTTTAAAGTTGATGTCAGAGAGATCAACTAGGTTTTGTAAAAATGAAAAGCAACCAAGATTAGGAACAATTAGATGCTTATCATTAAACTCTTCTGATTCTTCCACAATATTTTTCCCTTTTGTTTGTGAAGATGTAGGATGAACCAAAGGTTTATTTTCAGAAAAGAGTTCATCAGTGAAATCTAAACTTTCAGTGAAATCTAAACTTTCAGTGACATCCATTTTTTCTGTATTATCAGAAAATTGATGAGTTTCAAAGATAGGGTCCAAATAATAATTGAAGCCTACTTTATCATGCGCAACTTTAAGACATTCAGCAAGATCATGAAAGCCCTTCCACAAAGAGGAGAGAGGTTTCTGRGCTTCWATTTTRGCAGCAACATCTGTCCATTTTTTGTAAATTCCCTTATAAGGTCCATTCATAAGGAGATAACAATAAAAACGTTTTGGACATTGCTTGATGTCATTAAATCTCTGAGCAACCGAGTTAATAATAAAAAATTTCTCATTGGTTTGGTCAGATCTAGTTTTGAGATTCCATATAGTCACAAATAGAAGATTCCTCTTTTGTGAGTCTAGATCTTAAGTTGAAAAGAAACTGCTTATCTGGAGGATAAACAGGAATAAACTGCCTTCCAACTTGAAGTTTTTCTTTAGTCTCAGGGATATTTTCTTAACAACTCTTGGTTTCGGCATCCTGCAGAAAATTAAGAAGAAAATCTAGATAAGAGATCAGGAATAACATTTGTCTTTCCTTTTATATGCTCAAAATTAAATTTTATTCCTTTGCCAATGATATATTCATTTAATCTTAGCCATCTATTAGAAAGAAGCTTAGATTCTTTTTTCATATCAGCAAATTTGACTAAAGATTCACAGTCAGTTCTGAGTGTGATTTCATTTTTCCCTGTTAAAAAGAGAGCAAAAGATTCACAGGAATTAATAACAGCTAAGACTTCAAAATCTAAAGATGTTAATCTTCCTTTTTCTTTGTAAACACCTGAAGCATATCTACAAAGTTGTTCTTCATGGATAGAGGAGTATTTTGAGGGTCTTTTTAAAAGAATTCCTCCCCAACCATGTGCTGAACCATCAGTTTGAACAATTAGATAGTCTGAATCAAGAGGTAAACTCATTTCAGGAAGATTCATAACTAATTGTTTTAGTTCTTGGACAAGTTTAATATCTTCAGAATTAAACTTTCTTGTTCCTTTAACTGAGGTTTTGTTGTAAAGAGGAGCGGTATATTTAGAAAGATCTTTGATAAAAGGTCTAGCATAATTTAGAAAACCCAAAAAACTTTGAAGTTGTTTTAAGTTTTCTATCTTATCTGGAAATTCAGAAATCTTTCTAGATATATGAGGTTGGAGTTTAATCCTTCCTTTTTCTATTTCAACACCAAGAAATTCAATATGTTCTCTAAGAAGCTGCATTTTCTTGAGTGAAATTACTATTCCTTCTTTTTCAAAAATTTTAAAAACAATATACAAATGTGCATAGTGTTCATTTTTGTCTTTTGAGAATACCAGGACATCATCAATGTATACACATGTGAAATGAGATAARTGTTGAAAACAATTATCCATTTTTCTTTGAAAGATTTGAGGGGCATTTTTTAAACCAAAAGACATAACCTTCCATTCAAAATGACCTTCACTACATGTAAAGGCTGTCCATGGGATCGACTCAGGGTGCATTTTTACTTGCCAAAATCCTGATTTGAGATCAAATTTTGAAAACCATTTAGCACCTTGGATTTTATTTAACAAAATTTCTTTTGTAGGAATGCAATAGCCATCTATATGGGTATTGTCATTTAATCTTTTATAGTTAAAAACCATTCTTGATTGACCACGTTTTCTTTTAGATTCTTTCTGAACTATAAAAGCAGCAGTTCTATGACTAGAAGTGCTTCTGGTAATTACTCCAAGTT